GGAGGGCGCACAGTCCCATCCGCACGGGTCCGGCTCAGGGAGGGTGCACAGTCCCATCCACACGGGTCCGGCTCAGGGAGGGCGCACAGTCCCATCCGCACGGGTCCGGCTCAGGGAGGGTGCACAGTCCCATCCACACGGGTCCGGCTCAGGGAGGGCGCACAGTCCCATCCGCACGGGTCCGGCTCAGGGAGGGTGCACAGTCCCATCCACACGGGTCCGGCTCAGGGAGGGCGCACAGTCCCATCCGCACGGGTCCGGCTCAGGGAGGGTGCACAGTCCCATCCACACGGGTCCGGCTCAGGGAGGGCGCACAGTCCCATCCGCACGGGTCCGGCTCAGGGAGGGTGCACAGTCCCATCCACACGGGTCCGGCTCAGGGAGGGCGCACAGTCCCATCCGCACGGGTCCGGCTCAGGGAGGGTGCACAGTCCCATCCACACGGGTCCGGCTCAGGGAGGGCGCACAGTCCCATCCGCACGGGTCCGGCTCAGGGAGGGTGCACAGTCCCATCCACACGGGTCCGGCTCAGGGAGGGCGCACAGTCCCATCCGCACGGGTCCGGCTCAGGGAGGGTGCACAGTCCCATCCACACGGGTCCGGCTCAGGGAGGGCGCACAGTCCCATCCGCACGGGTCCGGCTCAGGGAGGGTGCACAGTCCCATCCACACGGGTCCGGCTCAGGGAGGGCGCACAGTCCCATCCGCACGGGTCCGGCTCAGGGAGGGTGCACAGTCCCATCCACACGGGTCCGGCTCAGGGAGGGCGCACAGTCCCATCCGCACGGGTCCGGCTCAGGGAGGGTGCACAGTCCCATCCACACGGGTCCGGCTCAGGGAGGGCGCACAGTCCCATCCGCACGGGTCCGGCTCAGGGAGGGTGCACAGTCCCATCCACACGGGTCCGGCTCAGGGAGGGCGCACAGTCCCATCCGCACGGGTCCGGCTCAGGGAGGGTGCACAGTCCCATCCACACGGGTCCGGCTCAGGGAGGGCGCACAGTCCCATCCGCACGGGTCCGGCTCAGGGAGGGTGCACAGTCCCATCCACACGGGTCCGGCTCAGGGAGGGCGCACAGTCCCATCCGCACGGGTCCGGCTCAGGGAGGGTGCACAGTCCCATCCACACGGGTCCGGCTCAGGGAGGGCGCACAGTCCCATCCGCACGGGTCCGGCTCAGGGAGGGTGCACAGTCCCATCCACACGGGTCCGGCTCAGGGAGGGCGCACAGTCCCATCCGCACGGGTCCGGCTCAGGGAGGGTGCACAGTCCCATCCACACGGGTCCGGCTCAGGGAGGGCGCACAGTCCCATCCGCACGGGTCCGGCTCAGGGAGGGTGCACAGTCCCATCCACACGGGTCCGGCTCAGGGAGGGCGCACAGTCCCATCCGCACGGGTCCGGCTCAGGGAGGGTGCACAGTCCCATCCACACGGGTCCGGCTCAGGGAGGGCGCACAGTCCCATCCGCACGGGTCCGGCTCAGGGAGGGTGCACAGTCCCATCCACACGGGTCCGGCTCAGGGAGGGCGCACAGTCCCATCCGCACGGGTCCGGCTCAGGGAGGGTGCACAGTCCCATCCACACGGGTCCGGCTCAGGGAGGGCGCACAGTCCCATCCGCACGGGTCCGGCTCAGGGAGGGTGCACAGTCCCATCCACACGGGTCCGGCTCAGGGAGGGCGCACAGTCCCATCCGCACGGGTCCGGCTCAGGGAGGGTGCACAGTCCCATCCACACGGGTCCGGCTCAGGGAGGGCGCACAGTCCCATCCGCACGGGTCCGGCTCAGGGAGGGTGCACAGTCCCATCCACACGGGTCCGGCTCAGGGAGGGCGCACAGTCCCATCCGCACGGGTCCGGCTCAGGGAGGGTGCACAGTCCCATCCACACGGGTCCGGCTCAGGGAGGGCGCACAGTCCCATCCGCACGGGTCCGGCTCAGGGAGGGTGCACAGTCCCATCCACACGGGTCCGGCTCAGGGAGGGCGCACAGTCCCATCCGCACGGGTCCGGCTCAGGGAGGGTGCACAGTCCCATCCACACGGGTCCGGCTCAGGGAGGGCGCACAGTCCCATCCGCACGGGTCCGGCTCAGGGAGGGTGCACAGTCCCATCCACACGGGTCCGGCTCAGGGAGGGCGCACAGTCCCATCCGCACGGGTCCGGCTCAGGGAGGGTGCACAGTCCCATCCACACGGGTCCGGCTCAGGGAGGGCGCACAGTCCCATCCGCACGGGTCCGGCTCAGGGAGGGTGCACAGTCCCATCCACACGGGTCCGGCTCAGGGAGGGCGCACAGTCCCATCCGCACGGGTCCGGCTCAGGGAGGGTGCACAGTCCCATCCACACGGGTCCGGCTCAGGGAGGGCGCACAGTCCCATCCGCACGGGTCCGGCTCAGGGAGGGTGCACAGTCCCATCCACACGGGTCCGGCTCAGGGAGGGCGCACAGTCCCATCCGCACGGGTCCGGCTCAGGGAGGGTGCACAGTCCCATCCACACGGGTCCGGCTCAGGGAGGGCGCACAGTCCCATCCACATGGATCCGGCTCAGGGAGGGCGCACAGTCCCATCCACAAGGGTCCGGCTCAGTGAGGGCGCACAGTCCTATCCACACGGGTCCGGCTCAGCGAGGGCGCACAGTCCCATCCACATGAGTCCGGCTCAGGGAGGGCGCACAGTCCTATCCACACGGGTCCGGCTCAGCGAGGGCGCACAGTCCCATCCACATGAGTCCGGCTCAGGGAGGGCGCACAGTCCTATCCACACGGGTCCGGCTCAGCGAGGGCGCACAGTCCCATCCACATGAGTCCGGCTCAGGGAGGGCGCACAGTCCTATCCACACGGGTCCGGCTCAGCGAGGGCGCACAGTCCCATCCACATGAGTCCGGCTCAGGGAGGGCGCACAGTCCTATCCACACGGGTCCGGCTCAGCGAGGGCGCACAGTCCCATCCACATGAGTCCGGCTCAGGGAGGGCGCACAGTCCTATCCACACGGGTCCGGCTCAGCGAGGGCGCACAGTCCCATCCACATGAGTCCGGCTCAGGGAGGGCGCACAGTCCTATCCACACGGGTCCGGCTCAGCGAGGGCGCACAGTCCCATCCACATGAGTCCGGCTCAGGGAGGGCGCACAGTCCTATCCACACGGGTCCGGCTCAGCGAGGGCGCACAGTCCCATCCACATGAGTCCGGCTCAGGGAGGGCGCACAGTCCTATCCACACGGGTCCGGCTCAGCGAGGGCGCACAGTCCCATCCACATGAGTCCGGCTCAGGGAGGGCGCACAGTCCTATCCACACGGGTCCGGCTCAGCGAGGGCGCACAGTCCCATCCACATGAGTCCGGCTCAGGGAGGGCGCACAGTCCTATCCACACGGGTCCGGCTCAGCGAGGGCGCACAGTCCCATCCACATGAGTCCGGCTCAGGGAGGGCGCACAGTCCTATCCACACGGGTCCGGCTCAGCGAGGGCGCACAGTCCCATCCACATGAGTCCGGCTCAGGGAGGGCGCACAGTCCTATCCACACGGGTCCGGCTCAGCGAGGGCGCACAGTCCCATCCACATGAGTCCGGCTCAGGGAGGGCGCACAGTCCTATCCACACGGGTCCGGCTCAGCGAGGGCGCACAGTCCCATCCACATGAGTCCGGCTCAGGGAGGGCGCACAGTCCTATCCACACGGGTCCGGCTCAGCGAGGGCGCACAGTCCCATCCACATGAGTCCGGCTCAGGGAGGGCGCACAGTCCTATCCACACGGGTCCGGCTCAGCGAGGGCGCACAGTCCCATCCACATGAGTCCGGCTCAGGGAGGGCGCACAGTCCTATCCACACGGGTCCGGCTCAGCGAGGGCGCACAGTCCCATCCACATGAGTCCGGCTCAGGGAGGGCGCACAGTCCTATCCACACGGGTCCGGCTCAGCGAGGGCGCACAGTCCCATCCACATGAGTCCGGCTCAGGGAGGGCGCACAGTCCTATCCACACGGGTCCGGCTCAGCGAGGGCGCACAGTCCCATCCACATGAGTCCGGCTCAGGGAGGGCGCACAGTCCTATCCACACGGGTCCGGCTCAGCGAGGGCGCACAGTCCCATCCACATGAGTCCGGCTCAGGGAGGGCGCACAGTCCTATCCACACGGGTCCGGCTCAGCGAGGGCGCACAGTCCCATCCACATGAGTCCGGCTCAGGGAGGGCGCACAGTCCTATCCACACGGGTCCGGCTCAGCGAGGGCGCACAGTCCCATCCACATGAGTCCGGCTCAGGGAGGGCGCACAGTCCTATCCACACGGGTCCGGCTCAGCGAGGGCGCACAGTCCCATCCACATGAGTCCGGCTCAGGGAGGGCGCACAGTCCTATCCACACGGGTCCGGCTCAGCGAGGGCGCACAGTCCCGCCCACGTAGTCCATCCACACGGGTCCGGCTCAGGGAGGGCGCACAGTCCCATCCACATGGATCCGGCTCAGGGAGGGCGCACAGTCCCATCCACAAGGGTCCGGCTCAGGGAGGGCGCACAGTCCCATCCACATGGGTCCGGCTCAGGGAGGGCGCACAGTCCCATCCACACGGGTCTGGCTAAGGGAGGGCGCACAGTCCCAGCCAGGTGGGAGAAGCCGCTGTCCTGTCTGCAGACCAAGCCGCCTCCAAGTTAGCCGACTGCCCTCAGGACTGTGCGCCCTCCCGGAGACGGAGCGTTGCTTACGTCGCACGTTGCTTTTTACCATTGTCAGGATGTTACTTCTCAACATTTATCTGATTAAAGCGCTTTTAGATTGGGCGCTCCTCTTCTTGTACCCGGAGTTTGTGGAGAAACCCTCTAAGGGACCGAGGTTGTCAAGGAGAAGATCACCTGACAATAACTAGAGAGATGCCCTGGCATGAGTCACATGACTGACACTCTGCCCCTTCCGCTGCTCTTGAATGTCCCCGCCCACCATAGCGTTGTCGGCACTTCCTTCATTCACTGCAATGACCCAAGCCCCCGCCCACCACAGCGTTGTCAGCACTTCATTCACTGCAATGACCCGAGTCCCCGCCCACCACAGCGTTGTCAGCACTTCCTTCATTCACTGCAATGACCCGAGTCCCCGCCCACCACAGCGTTGTCAGCACTTCATTCATTGCAATGACCCAAGTCCCCGCACACCACAGCGTTGTCAGCACTTCATTCATTGCAATGACCCAAGTCCCTGCATACAGAGCACTCACATAAAGGTATTTACAAAGCAGTTTATGAACTATGACATACAGGAAGTGCCGTTGGGGCTGTTACTTGTTTTTGCCTTTCCTTCTACTCTAAACATACAGAACACCCGGAATATTGGCGGCTTTGTTGTCATGTGACTTCCTAATGAATGATTTCCAAACCGTTCTGCCTCATTTGATGTCTAAAATGTGATTCCAATGGATTTTCTAGCCGGGTTGCTGCGCCCCCTACTGGCAGAAACTGGCGCACTGCGACCCCAGAATCTACAACTGCTGCACCCCAAGCGACGGGCGATGAACAACTAATCATCTCCGGGAGAAGCGGCTGAGATCTGAACATCCCCAGAAATGAACAAAAACCCCAAAACTAATATCTCAGAAACTGTAATACGTTCATGTCGTTTCAAACGTTGTTTTCACTACTTCTGGATCTGCAGCTTTCATTATAATAATGCCCAGTGATCCTGCAATTGAGGTCCTTGTTCAGGCACTTCCTGTTATAAGGTGACAACACTCTGTCCTTGCATCCCTGGTTTACACCTGTGCTGTCACATGCACCCCCTGGTGGAGACTACAAGCAGGTGTGCTGATGCACATTGCATCGGCATTGTCCCCTGTAGTCACCATCAGGAATCAGGAAGTGGGTGCAGAGCGATAACGTGCAGCTGACAAGTCCATGAAGAGGATCCTACGCCCCCTACTGGCAGAGACCGGTGCAGACTCACAGATGTCGGAGGGTGCGGGTACCTTCGGGGCCCGTCCTGATGTTAGGGGGGAGCCCCTGTGACCCTCATATAGGGCTCTCTGCCTTTTCCCATCTGGGGGGATCTCTCTTTGGGGGAGGCCCCTACTTAGTACCTGAGGGTCCTGTTTCGGCAGGACCCTGAGGAAAGGGGTCTGCCGGCCTTCGGGTAGGTGGACCAGAGTCTTCCTTGCCCCTGTCAGGAGCCTTGTGCCCCGGGGGGGGTTGGGAGTATCGAGGCCCTTCCTCTTCGGAGGAGGACCACAGCACCCTCGTTCACTTTATTTTTTAGTGTGTTGTGATTTCCCGATTCACTTTTTTTGTTCACAGGGGAAGTTTTACGAAGCGCGCACCGCGGAATTAACCCCCCCCCCCCCAAAAAAAAACAGTAATGGGCGATGCAGGAGAGCGACTATGTGCAGCAGAGAATGGAGAGAATGCATGTAGACAGGAAGTGGATCCTGCGCCCCCTACTGGCAGAGACTGGTGCACCAGAAATGGGCGATGCAGGAGAGCAATGATGTGCAGCAGACAATGGAGTGCATGCATGTAGACAGGAAGTGGATCCTGCGCCCCCTACTGGCAGAGACTGGTGCACCAGAAATGGGCGATGCAGGAGAGCAATGATGTGCAGCAGACAATGGAGTGCATGCATGTAGACAGGAAGTGGATCCTGCGCCCCCTACTGGCAGAGACTGGTGCACTAGTAATGGGCAATGCTGGGGAGCAATGATGTGCAGCAGACAATGGAGTGCGTGCATGTAGACAGGAAGTGGGTGAAAGCAGCAGCAAACAGTGCAAGAAGAGTAAGTGACAACTTCTTATATTAGAAGAAAATTCTGGGGCTCGGAGGGATGAAAGGGATCCGGTCTGTGAGGGGGGAACCGGCTGACATACGTACTTGTCGTTTACGGTGACGCCGCTCATGATGATGCAGTTGGTGATCTTCACTCTGTCTCTGACGCTGCAGTTGGAGCCCAGAAGGGAATGTTTGATGGAGGTCTTCTCCCCGACCTGCGTCTGAGCCCCGACCATGCTGTCCGACCCCACCTGGGGAGCAGAAGATCCCATTGTTACCGATACCCGAAAAAAACAGCAAAAGGAGGGAACATGAGCCGGGAGATGTACAAAGGGGCCCCCAGAGCATTTTCTTTAGTGGCATAGATCTGCAAATACCCGTGGACGCCACTCCGCTGCATCAGGGCACCTCTGATAAGTGTGGCCCCTGACTCTACACTATCTGAGCACCCACCTCTGGGACATCTATAACAATGCGCAGGGAGCAGGTCCTGTTTTCCTATGCCGGGGACCCTTCTGTACTGTTCTGTATATTTGCTCTTTTCTGAAAACTCCAGGACTGAAAAATCCGGCTTACTTCTTCCTCTCTATGTAATGTGAAGGAGGGGGCTGGGGAGTTGTGTTTACCATAACTAACCTAACTCTGTTTTTATCCTGAGTAGTTCAGTTTAGTTGACTATCTTGGAAGTGTGCTGGGGGCCCCTCGGCACTATTACCAATACCTGGCATTAGGGATGCACCGATACTAGTATCGGTGCCGAGTATTTGGGCCAGTACTCGTACTCACCCAAATGCTCCGATGCCTAGCCCGATACTTCCGGTATCAGGAAGCCGGGCAGCGCATCATTACACGCTGCCCGGTTTCCTGATTGGCCAGGGAAGCCGGCTCAATGTTCTCTCATCACTTGTGTAATGACGCGGCTTTCTGATTGGCCAGAAAGCCGGCTCCATGCTTTCTCGTCACCCAGTGACGAGAAAGCATGGGGACGGCTTCCCAGCCAATCAGGAAGCCGGGGGGCGGGCCATTACACGCCGTCTGGCTTCCCGAATGGGACTTATTGTATTGGCTATCGGCGAGTACCGGAAAAAAAATATCGGTACTCTTAGGGTTTGTTCACGCCATCAGCAGTGCGTTCTGGTCTGATGCTGCAGGCACTATTTTGATCGCACGGCACGAAACACACTGCAGTCACAATGTGCCTTGCGGTCGATCGCATCGCGGCCGCAGGGCGCGGCTAGGGTGCCATTCACTTCACTGGCCCGCCACGCCCCCTCCTGCCCAGCAAAAAAAAAAAAGGGAGCCGGCCGCAATGCGGGCAGTGCGTTCTGGGCCAAAATCGGACCAGAACGCACTGCTGATAGTGTGAACGTATATCGATATTGAAATACCGGTATCGGTGGCACACAGCAGAGGGCAGCATTTGCCTTCTTATAAAGAAATGTATCAATCCTTTATTTCCTGTCTTGGTGACCACACAGGAAGTGTGCGGAAATCCCTCATGTGGACATGGCAGAGGTCCTACTCTGCTCCATTATCTGTTAGGGACCAGTGACACCATATACACTGAACGGGCTGCCAATGCACATCAAGAATAAACAGGTCCTGCGTCTGTGCATTGCGGCGCGATGCAAATATGCGTTGGGGTGTGATTATCTTTGAATGGCAAAGCGCCGCAACGCACAACTCACTGGGTATAACGCATGTCATGGTGTGCATGAGCCCCTTGCCTGTGACCCCCCCCGGAGGGTGCAGCTATACGATGTCTATAAACTGCTCCGGACTCACCATGAGTTTATCTGCAATGACAGCCGACGGGTGAACACGTGGATCTTCCCCGCACAGTCCGCACAGAGGAACCTGCCGAACAGAACAGAGACATCTCACGTCACAGAAATCCAAAAGTAATCGTTCCCTCTAGACCCCTGAGCCACGTACAACCTGGAGCAGACAGGATCGGGAGCAGCTGCGCACGGCGACCAATCAGCTTCTCTGTTTAGTTAGAGTTTGAAAATGAAAGAGAGAAGCTGATTGGTTGCCATGGGCAATGGCTTGATTCTGTCTGCACCAGTTTTGATAAATCCCCCCCCTCTCTAGGAATGTAATGTATTGGTCACATGACCGTTGCTGCCCAATCTTCCTCCTTTCTGTAGAAGGGCGCTGGGCATCGGCGGTGCAGGGACTACATGTCCCAGAAGTCTGTGTGGTTTAAGCTGCTATGGGCGTGGCCTGTGCCATTTGGACCCAGAGTAAAGACCACCGCCTGGGGCGGCTCCATCAACAAGTCACCCCGGGAAAAGGGGGGGGGGGGGGGGGGGGGG